ATATGTTTTCAAAAACTTTTTCTTGACAAATTTTTCATTAAATTTTCATAATGGCTATTTCATTTCATGAGATGAAGAGGCATATTTTAAATCTATAAACATCGTTCCGAAATAGAAAAAAATAAACATATGAAAATGAAAGGCAATTATAATACAATCACTCATTTTGTGGAACTCACATATATTTTCGAAGAAAATAGTGATTGTAAGTTTTAAGTTCGAGGTTTGGCGACTCTTCCCCTTCTTCCACTCCATTACAGACACCCCACCCAGGGTTGCCAGATCTTCCGATACGGCAGGAAAAATTCCGATTTTTTGAAAGTTTCTCCAACGACTTTCCGACGTTTTGATTTTTTCCGATTGCCTTCAGATTTCCTAATTTTCCTTCGGTTTTCGAAGTCTTGTTTGTGAATTCAAGTTCTTAGGACATTTCAGAATAATTTAACCATGACGCGATACCACAAATATATTGCGATCTATTTCACCATAATTATCGGGTAGTGAAGCGTCATGAACTCAACAAACCACACTGCAGTGATTTGAAAGCATACCCTCCAATAAAACTATGATTCTTTACAGACAATTAAGATCCAGTTTTCTATCACGATGAACTAACTTTCTCTGTTCGTTTTCTGTACTGATAATTAAGAATATTTTCGTTTCTGAGCTTTTTTTGTTTCATCACAGATATAATAAAACTAATCATAATCGTATGGGTACTAATTTAGCTGTTGCAGAATTGAAAATCGGAATGAATTCTGTTTATACTTGTGGACATTTTTATGAATATCTGTTACCTCAACCTGATATTTTGAAGAGTATTCGAGCTACCCATGGTGTAAATTTCTGCGAAAAAAACGCGTTCTGAAAACGCATTTTTCCATAGCTGCGAAATGCGTTAATGCTGACCGGTTTGACGCGTTTCACATCTGCTAAAACAAACGCTGTGTAACGATTGTTTTTGTGAAAAATTTCGCAACGTTTTTCAAACTGTGGTGTCGTAAATTCTCGATGGAAAAAAAAATTGAAAATCGTCAATGACTTCATAGATCTTGAATTGCAGGTACAATTTATGTATTCGCTTACATTTTTCATAGGCCTTTAGAACTATAACTTACATGAATTTTGATGCAGTCAAGGCACGGATTCGAACACGAGAACATAGGAGTATAAGACATGTATACAAACCGTTCAACTAAAATAATCTAATGATATAAGTGTTTATTCTACTGTCATTTAGAGTCTCGCGCAAACTTACTAAATTAGATTTTCAGTTTCCATTCCACTGAATTAAAAATTATCATTTCTTTGGTGCCTATGTCCAATTACGAGTGTGGTCTTTTCTTGATACATTTTTTATTTAAACTCTTTCAGATTTAAATTTAGATACACAATAGAAACGAATTTAATCGATTTACACTGTATTTAATATATAAAAAATTAAATTTTTCTTATATAAATTTTAAAAAATTTAAAATTTAATCTTTTATTTATTTTCTTGATTAATAGATTTTTGTAAATGTAAATCCGTCATCGTTTTATCCAATTACATCAATAAATGAAAGGAGTTTTCTTTTGTAAATCGAATCTCTTTTATTAAAAAGTCACTCTTACTTCAACAATGTACAAACTAAAATCATGTTTACTAGTATTGTACACAGTATCATTAGTTATTATCAATTAGTTAGAGCATGAACTCAAACTAATACTTATTCAAATTATAGATAACGCGATAATTCTTTTGTTCACAAATAACCAAAGAGAGTTACTATACTAATTATATTAGTATCAGTCTTTACTAAATCTCTTCGAAATGCTCAATATTTAAAACGACCTGTCCACGTAAAACGTGATTCAGTCACGCTTTATTTGTTTTATTTCATACAAATGATTCGATCTCTAGAATCTAATACATTTGCAATCTTGGACAAAAAATTGTGCTTGTCAAAATGAGACACTGCAAATTTGTCTGTAACTTTTCATTCATTACAAACGAGCGTGACGGAATCATCTCCCTCCGTGGACAAGTCGAAAACAATTCTTAAGTAAACCTTACGAAACACGTTTTCTTTCAATAAAAACGTGGTGAAATGAGTTTTTAAGTAAGAAGAATATATTTTTTGTTACACTTTGATGTTTTACATTAGTCTAACTTCGAATTAGGTCTAGATAACAGCCTAGCAACCTAAAAATTTCCAAGACTTTGATTTTAGTCTTGTCTTCATAAAATCCTGGATCATGATTTTCACGTAGAAAAATAGTGCAAGGAGCAAAACTTTCAAGTGCTATTTCATATCATTTCCAAAGTAATTTTAAAGAATTTACTTTGCTTAACTCCTATGCTTTGTGTTGGTGAATTTTTGCAAGATTCTGTATGCAGAATGGATATATTTTGCATCATTCCAAGCAAAAACAATCCAACAACATTTGAAAAAGAAACGCGTTTTACGTTTTCCTCAATTTGTATCTGTGGAACGCGTCGCCTGGCGACCAAAGCGCGTTCGACAGCATTTTAATTCGGAAACGCCTCGAAACGCAATCTTGAAAAAAGCGTTTCGGATCGTTTCAAAAAACGACTGTGGCAAAACGCATTTTATGTAAGTAAGAATGCTGCGAAGCGCGTCCTATATTGCAAAAACGCTGCGAAACGCATGCTACAACCTCGAAAACGCGTTACGCAATCCGTTTCCTTCAATATTTTACTCCATGGGTAATAAAAAGTATGAACAAAAACGAACATTATACAGAATAAGTCGTAGTTTTTTTTGCACAAGGTTTGTGAAATACATGTGTGTGTGAATTCACAATGCTGATTCTATTGTTTCGTCAAGTTGGTTATAGCATTCTTGATAAAAATAATGTGATCCTGTTCAAATGATTTATGTAGATTTCTTAATCATGAGTAAATTGTGTAATCGATATTTTCTTTAATTCTTTATGAAATATCATTTCCGATATTGCTTCGAAAAGATGAACAGAAGCAAGATAAAGGATATTGAAGCTATCGAAAATATATAGACTAGTTATTTAAGCATGGAAAAATACTTTCTGATTTTCTTCCGATTTCGAGAACAAAAATTCCGATATTTTCCCGATTTTTAGAAAAATTTTTCTGATTTTTTAATTTTCGATCTGGTAACCCTGACCTCCACCATGACAGACCTCAGCAACAGCGCATAAAAGGCTCTAGTTTTTATATAATATAACAATGATTTCATACCTATTCGGGAAAAAGGTATTTTACAATTTAAAAATTAGGCATCAGGACAAAAAATAAAAAAAATATATGTGAGTTCCACGTTTTAGCTCCTCTGGAGCTGCGCTAACAAGTTTTTTTTACTGATTAGTTTAGTGTGAAAAAATTTTAAAATTTTTAAAAGATGTCTCTAAAGGTCTGAGTATATTTAAGAAATCAAGGTTGTACAAAGGCGGGGAAACCGCGAAATTTCGTCATGCACCGTCACCGCCCCGCCGGCGGGGCGGGGAGGACGGGACGGGGCGGTTTTACACCGCGGCTCGTCCATCTCTGATGTGTAATATTCAGAAGAAAATTAAATCACATCGAAGAAAGGATGATACATCCGTTCGATAATATCCCAAATGGTAATTCAATGCTGAAAAGAGATAAATGTCATTGAATTCTGCCATCTCACTTCATCTTGATACTTTTATAGCATGAAATGTATATTAAAATCTTTTTTTTTTGAATATTATTAAAGAAGAAACAAAGTCTGTATGAGAAAGAAATATCCTTTATTAGATTTGAATAGTCTTAATATTCGGCTATCTGAGAAAAAGTCATCTGTACAGCACACTTGTTCTTTTATTCATGAATCAGGTGAAACAATTTTAGACTGAAGTGCTGTTTTATATCTTTATACAAAACAATTACTCGAATTTTTGGTACTCAAGAAAAAACGTTATCTATCTATATTGTACTTACATTTTATTAGACTAATGTGTAATATTTTTCTCTCTGTTCTTTATTCGCTATGTCAAGTTTGTATTTCATTTCTGTTCCAGAAAGAGAATATTTTTGTTCGACAAAGTTAACCTCAAAGTCTATCTTTTCAATCTGTGTAAAAAATATTCTATAAAAGAAAATAATGGAATAAACATCAACTTCTTCCAACTCTTAACTGATGTCAAACTCCTGCGAAAAGAAAAAGAAACGATTTTTGATTATACGTCGTACAGCATTCGTTTTTTTTTCTGATTATCTGTGTAAATAGAAACGACCGAAGTAATGAGAACTATTCTGACAGAAGTTATTTAACAAAAAAAATGAAATTTTTAGGGAAATTGATAGAACTACACAATAATAAGAACTAATAGGTAAATTGATGTAAAAATGACCTTACATTTAATGTTCAATTGATAGATTTTTTTCATAGATAAATCAAAATTTTGTATTATATTTTCATTTCAATAATATATACAAATTTTCTGCTTAATTAATACCATTGTCGACATGGCAAACGCACTCTTCGAATCTTCAACAAACGTCAACCGAATGATAGAAAACACAGCTAATACATCGCGACTGGTACAACCTCGCATAATCGAGAATTTTATCATTATTTGGTTAGATTCAAACATTAATGAATTTGCTGAAGACACAAGAAATTCCATTACTAGCCTTCGACAGGTGGTCAATTCAATCAAAATATTTAATGATGTTGATAAATGTGTTGATTTTCTTACTGATATTGAAGATGAAAAAGTATTTATGATTATTTCGAATACACTTGGTCAACAAATTGTATCTCCAATTGAAAAACGTTGCTCAGCTATACTCAATCTATGTTATTTGTAGTCAATCGAGAGAGCATCAACCATGGATAGAGGATCATAAAAATGTGAAAGGAATATTTAACAAAATTGAGTCTATCTGTGACGTAGTCAAAAGAAATATTCGTCAGTACGAGATTAATTTGATATCATTCAGTGTTGTTCCTACAAGTTCTCTTACGAATCTCGATGAACTTGATCAATCATTTATGTATTCTCAAATTCTCAAAGAAATTATTCTCGACATTAAACATGATAAAGCAACTAAGAAAGAATTTGTCGATTTTTGTTGTACTCATTATGCTGATAATAATACTCAGTCAAATAAAATACATGATTTTGAACGATTATATGAACATCATTCACCAATTTGGTGGTATACGAAAGAATCCTTTATTTATTCAATACTGAACAAAGCTTTGAGAACACAAGAAATCGATTTTATTATTAAGATGGGATTTTTCATTCAAGATCTTCATCGACAAATCGAACAACTGCATGCAGATGCACATCAAACTTCAAAGATGATTATTTATCGAGATCAAGGAATGTCTAATAATGACTTTGAAAAGATTAAGAAAAGCGAAGGTGGTCTTCTTTCTTTTACAAATTTTTTATCAACAAGCATTGATCAAGATGTTTCATATAGTTTTGCTGAAAGTGCTGGAGATAATCCTCAATTAATAGGAATTTTGTTTCAAATTAAAATCGACCCATTGATTTCCACAGTATCATTTGCTTCATTAGACAATATCAGTCAATACTCTGATTCAGCAAAAGAAATTCTTTTTCAAATGTACTTTTATAGACAATACGCAAATTCAGATTCGTGCGTATGACAGTCTGAAAATGTCTGTTTTTTCTTTAAAATAATTTGAAGCGCCAGTTTTCAACTAAATGTCAAATAGATAGCCATATCATGAGTATCCAAATCTTGTTTGCCTTATAAATGTCTTCATCGAGACGGTGTGGGTGTGAGTTAAGGAAGGAGGCATACCCACACCCACCCTTTCTTCGTTGATCATCGATACTTGTTTTATTTGACTAGTTATCTTATGATTACCCACACCCTTAAGTGCGCAATTCTTAAGTTTTTATCTTGAATTGTTTGAAGAGAAAGTATTTATTACTATTGATATTTCTTCATTTCTTTCTCAAACATCACACTGATTATACAAAAAAACGAAATATGTCACACGATCATCATCATCAATAACACCAACAAGAATACGAGAATATTGATGTTCAAACACGTGTATCTTATGAACGATTTCTTGAATTTGAATGTTTAATGAAGATGTATCCACCATCTTCATCTCAAAATTTTAATCCAACACCACTTGGTCTATGTGCTTTTGCATTAACAACATTTATTCTTTCAATGTATAATGCAGGTGTAGCTGTACCTGTTACTACTCCACATGGTATTGTTATGTGTCTTGCTCTTTTTTATGGTGGTTTAATTCAACTTCTTGCTGGTTTACTTGAATTTCGTGTTGGAAATAATTTTGGTGCACTTGCATTTTGTTCTTATGGTGATTTTTGGCTTGGACTTGCTTCACTTTATGTTCAATCATTTAATTTTCTTGGAAATTATTTATCAAATGTGCCAGAAAAAGCTCTTGGAGTTTTTTTTCATGGATGGACCATATTCACAGCTGCTATGTTTGTTTCATCTTTTCGTACTAATTTAGCTTTAGTAGCATTATTCTTTTTTCTAACACTTACTTTTCTTTTGCTTACAGCAAGTAAATTTCAATTAGGTCATCTTAATTTACAACGTGCAGCAGATGCTTTTGGAATTATAACAGCATCAATTGCTTGGTATGCAGCATTTGCAAGTTTACTCAAACGAGGTGTAAATTCATATTTTTCATTACCTGTTTATAACTTAGCACCAGACTCACCATTAATAATTATCGATGAATCCTCAACAAATATTCGTACACAAAAAATATAAAAAATTAACATATTAGAATTATTAATAATGCCAATTAGAGTATTTCTTACTAATAATAATCGTTTTTTTTTCAATTATACCAGTAATATGTATTTATATTTTTATAAGCTAATTATCTCGAATAAATATGTTCAAATCTAACGACGCAGAAAAAGAAAAGAAATAATACAAAGTTGAAGGAAAAATGTACATAACAAAGAAAAGAAAGTGTTCTATTGATTTCCAAGTCTTGTTAATAATCATTTTAACCATAAACTGATTCGTCACTATCAGCTACATAAAGAAATTTAGGGTTTGAGTGTGGATGTGGATGCGATTTTAGATCTTCTATTGATCATGACACACATCCACATTCCAGACCCACAAAACTTACTGAAGCTGTAAAATCTTGGAACGAATTATAATATTAGAATATTTTCAAAACACTAAACAGGTCACTTGAGTTTGTGTATCTTCTCTTCATTCACATGCATAACATCTAGTCCAAAATCTTGGCTTCATCACTGGAATTAATCGACATATAATTCATGTTCTTTTCAAAAGTCACCTTGAAAGATGGCAATCGCATAGAATAGTTGCAGCATCTATGTTACCATGTTAGTTCACAAGATGAACAATTTTTGTTTTTGATTACCATCAAACAAGGAACTTTATTTACTGGAAGAAATGTGTTGTTTTAGTAGATAAATGATGTCAAGAATGTTCAGAGCAATGTTATTTTGATTCTCGTTATTCATTATTTGAAGTTTCTGACAGAGATCAATCTCTTTTAACGATTGATGAATCACGGACGTATTGATTCGAAAAAAAAAATGAAAAAAAAACAATGTATTGTCCATATGAAAGAATAATCAATGTTTCTTAACGAATGTATCCATGATATCATCATCGAAGATGGTCGTCGAAAGATTTTAGTTTTTTAAATGATTTATCTAGTATGAAAGAGCATAGAGAATTCGCAAGACAACCGAATTTTAAACACTTTTGAACAATCTTCTTATACTTCGCTGATTGAATTACTTTGACGTATATTATCAGTGAATGAAAAATTATGATTTTTGTAGAGGTTTTATCTAAGAGATAGGTGTGGGTGTGGCTAAAGAGATAAATAACACCGACACCGGCATCCACACCTTCTACACGTGCTCATCGGATTTCCCTTCTCAAAAGCTTTCGACTGATATATGATAACACTATATAAATCGTAATGTAGAAGTTATTCTATAAAGAAAATTTGAAAAACATTAAATTTTTTAGAAATTTTATTTTACCAGAAAATCATGAAAATTAGTCAGCTTCTGTTTTAGAAAATTCGTTTTTTTTCCATAAATTGAAAAACTGACAGTTTGGAAAATATTTGATTTGAATGTAATCGATAAAGCTCCTATTGAATATACAACTCAAATTTTCTTCATATTCAGTTTTTTTTTCGATTTTTGACTCAAACGATAAAATACGAACGCAATTCACCCATACATATCAACAGAAATATAAGACATAACAATAAACGACTAGATGAAGTTGTTGATTTAATTAGGTAAGAGTTCAAAATCCCAAGTCATATCATACTCCGAAATAGAAAAGATTTTAATCTATTTTCGAGATATTGTTCTACTGTCATATCGAAAAGGCCAATCGAAAAGTCGTCAAAAATAATTATGCATCATATATCATTGATTATAGTATTTTAACAACAAATTTAGCTTTCAATTTCATTAGTACTTACAACAATTTATTATACTTTAATATCATAATTATAAAGCAAACATCTAATGTAATGCACAGTTGGGTTTTGATCTCCACCTCATTCCTGTTCGTCTAATTAAATATTAAACAAAGTTCTTTTTTTGTGTGTGTTTCATTAATCATTCAATATTCCCATTATTAGAAAAATTATGATGAAGGCTTATACTTATTCTAGAGAAACATCGAAAATACTTATTCTAATAACAATGTTTGTAATTTTATATCTGAACGATATTTCTTACGAGAAAATAAGACAAACACTATTCCAATCTCAGCTATATATATCAACACGTTTTCTTCAACAGCTAATTAATGTTTTCATGAATGAACATTTATGAAAATCTGTCAATAAAATATTAATCGTAGAGTTTCTTAACTAATAATGTCATATGTTTTATTCGAAGCAGCAACATCATTGACGCATGTGCAAAACTACATTTGAAGACAGCGTCATCCATCCCTTTTATAATTACAAATATACGAGCAAGAAAATAAATCGTTATTGACAGATGATAATTGATGTATATAAGGATATCATAGATTTCTAAACCTAAAATAAACGCTTAACAGTGAAATAAAAAAATCAAAGTGAGAGAGAATAGAGTTATACGTCAAATGAAATAATTTAATAAACATCTTTTATTCCTAACAAAAACAAAAAAAATGCAACAGAGCTGAAAAAGCCAAAAGTGAAAAAACCGTTTTCATCTTGAATTTCATTTTAACTATCTTATTCGATCTATCGTATAAGAAAAATCATATCTTTCTATTAACTGACAAAACATTCATAATATATTTGAATCAATCGTTCGACCATTAATATTCATTGTTACGTCATAACTAACTTTATAATCCTTCGTATCATACCAATTAATTATCTTCATATTCGTCGACTATTTTCGTCTTAACATCAACACTGGCATTGGATACTACTAGTACACTGTTATCATATATCTGATATATTTCATTACATTGTACTATTCTCGATACTTTTTGTCCTCGTTTAGCCCATTTTGGTAGAAGTTTTAAGTATCGATTAGAAATATCTTTTGCAAGTTCATAAAGATCTATACAATTATTATTTCTTTATTTCTAAATACAATATAAAGAATTTCGAGATGAGTTCCAATCTTTATTATATTCATTGCCGATTCTTTTTTCATGTATGTGAATTTAATTAGTTTCACAATACGTTTTTCATTAAGAAATTCAATGAGGATGCGAGTGTGTATAAAGAGAAGATACCCATACTCTCATCCACACCCTTGTACTCTTAATGATATAGAAGCATTGATTCGCGCATAGTAATTCGTATGGAATTTTGGAATATGCGCTCAATATTTACTGATTTCCAACAGTGAAAAGTAATCGAGCAATTGGAATTGAAATCGCAAGTCTCGTATCTATTAAAGGGAGAAGATCATTCGAAAATGTTGTTCAACAACAATGTTATTGTTTCTTAAACCATCGGTAATAGTTGCAAATATTCCAAAGCTTTCGTCTTCATTGTTATTCGATTATGAATCACTTAACTTGTCAATCAAAATGAGATGTTTCGTTTTCTTTGAGTAGAATATATTTTATTGTCTTCAAATCACAATTTTTTTTAAATGGTTATCAATGATATCGTGTGTTTCATTTGAAACCAAATATTTGTAAATTTGGTCCGAATGTGACAATGACATTCATAGTTTGATCTCTATTGACACTATCTTAAACTATTAGACTGTTCTTTACTGTACATATCAGCTGATTTTCATCCATGATTCTTTCCTTGGTACTATTCCAATAGACGTACATTAACTCGGTTTCCTGCAAATGTGTCTTTCACCAAGTGTCAATATAGTGTCGTGTTGTTATCGGATAAATGAAACTCTTCTATTCTTTCTCTATATTCAAATACTCGTTCATTTTAAAATCATCATTCAATATATGAGTCTTGCTATCTTTTGTTCCCAGTGTCACTTCAAACAGGATGCTATATCGTATGTCTTCGTTCAAGGCTGTAATATTAATTGGAATATCACGATCGATCCGATAAATATCTGCAATTATTCCACTATCAATATACTTTTCAAGTTCATCAAAGAAATAGCAACAGAATTCTGCTGATGTCAGATCATGATCATCCAT